ATGTTAATTTTGGCTTTGAATGCCTGTGCCTCCGGGGTCTTTATTCAAGAAGTCTTTGCCAGTGCCTACATCTTGCAGGGTTTCTCCAATGCAACAAAATGGAAAAATCTGGAAAACATCATGCTGAGTGAAATAAGCCAGTCCCAAAGGGACAAATATCATATGTTCTCCCTGATCTGTGACAACTAACTGAGCACCGAAAATGAAACCTGTTGAAGTGAAATGGACACTATGAGAAACAGTGACTTGATCAGCCCTTGTCCTGACTGTTGATGAACAACTTAATACTTTATCCCTTTTAGTATTTTTTGTCATACTTAATACTATTGGTTGAACTCTGTAATTAACACACAATTATTCTTAGCTGTTGAAATTTAACTGAAAAGTGATTCCTGTTAAATATAAGAGTGGGAATAAGAGAGGGAGGAGATGTACAGTTTGGGACATACTCAATCGGACTTGCCCCAAATGGTGGAGTTAGGAATGTGCCAGGGGATTCCAATTCAATCCCATCAAGGTGGCATGTACCAATTCCATCTCACGAGTCCAAGTGATCAATTTCTGTTCACAATTGATCATAATGAAAGGATTAAGAGCCAAAGGGATCACATAAATAAGACTAGTGTCTGCTAATACTAACTGAAAGAATTAAAAAGGAGAGAACGATCCAACATAGGAAGCAGGATACACAGCAGACTCATAGAATGGCAGATGTCCTAAACAGCACTCTTGCCTCAGACTGCCCTTCAGGCATTCAGATCTGGCTGAAGAGCCCATGAGAGTATTTTAGGCATGGAAAGCCAAGACACTCTGGCAAAAAAAAAAAAAAAAAAAAAACAAAAAACAAAAAACAAAAAACACACAAACAACAACAACAACAAACAAAACAAAAAACACACCTATATGCAAGATCTCTGTGAGTGAGATCCCAGTGGAAAGAATGGGCTGTCAAAGAAGGAGGTACCTTTTTCTGAATGGAGGAGAGAACAGAACTTCCACTTTGACTATGACCTTGTCTAAATAAGATCAGAGTCCGCGAACTCAAAAGGCTTCCATAGCCTTGGCAACTCATGACAAGAGCCTAGGGTGATTACTGACACCATAAACAAGAGTGCC